GAAAGGTAGCAAAATCGACCCCATTAGTCTCCACGATCCCCATGTTCCTGAGAACCTCATGACAGCTGTCTAGATAATCCTGGGGATCCTCAGTAGATGCACCGCTTAATGTAGTAGTGAAGAGCTTGGTGAAACTTATCCAACCTCCACAAGGCCTCCGAAGACGTATCTGATCTATCACTGGTCTGTGTTGCTGCTCAGCTGAAGAAGCGGTACATGACCTCGCCATTCGTGAAGGGACAAGAGTAGAGGTTTCAGTTTAGCATTTGAGAAACAAAACCGCACGACAGAAAAGAACAAGTGTTAAGTTTTCCTAACTCCGTAGCCTCTGGGGGATAAATACAGACGTCTCCGTACCGATCCCTCAGACTCTACTAAGCTTGTCTGTGAACTGTGAGACCCATGTAACCTAGAGCTCTGATACCAACTTGTCACGACCCGGATTTTCCCACCCTCGGGAGTCGTGATGGCGCCTACTAATGAGAGCTAGGCAAGCCAATCCTTAGCTACTTACTTCATTATCACTTTGCTTCTTTTTAACAAATATAAGGCGATAACATGAAAACAGCGAAACTTTAAATAATTAAGCGGAAGATAACAATTTAATATCTCAACATGAATTTCTAATACAACCGTTTGAATTTCGACTACCCAGAACTGGTGTCACAATTTCACAGACGGTCTAAGAGTACTACAAATAAAGGTCTGAAAGAATTAAATACAACACTGTCTCTGGAAATACATGTAAGAAACAGGAAAGTCGATAGAGAGAGAGAGACGCCGGGCCTGCGGACGCGTGCAAGGCTACCTCGGAGTCTCGGTGGACTGAAGGCTGGCTCCCAAGCTACTGCTGCTATCCGGGACCTGGTTCTATCCAAAAGAGCACAGGGTGTAGTATCAGCACAACCGACCCCATGTGCTAGTAAGTGCCTAGCCTAACCTCGGCGAAGTAGTGACGAGGCTAGACAGGACTACCACATAAACCTGTACAGTTATATATATATCTACAACGGGAAAATAACAAGAACAAACATTTTAAATGAGAGGGGAACATACTTCGGGGGTAGCAGATAATACAGAATTTCAAGAAGATAATAAAGAACATCAATAGTTTTAACTCTAACACGGATAAGGAAAATAAAAGCAGATTTCACTATCAGTACATATCTCGTTGCAGGCGTGTAACCCGATCCCATTTCTCAATAATTAAATCTCGTGGTAGGCGTACCACCCGCTCCCATTTCATTAAGTTAACAGTTCTTCCAAATGAAATTTACTCCAATAAACACAACAATTAATACGAATTCATAAGACAACAAGTACACAATAATTATGACTCACTGAGAAAAAACAAGTAATGACAAGTAGCAATTAATTATGGACTTTAAGGAGAAAATAGGCAATTTAATATTTAGTATGCTAAATGTCAAGTAGCAATTAAGTCACATAACATGTAGCAATTATAACATGAATTCAACCATAATGTTGCGCAAGGATACCTCGAGCCAATAATAACAAGTAACACAATAAAGGAATATGCCAACATAAAGAATCACAGTAATAGTGGAATAAGACAATTAATGCACTTGAACCGATAACAACAAGAAAATCAGTAAATAAAAGTAAAGGACAACATAACTCAATTATCAGCAAGAATCAGGAAAATCAAAGACAAGTGCACGGCATCATCCTTCGTGCTTTTACTTTCGTCCTCACCAAGTAATAATATAATGAAAACGTGCACGACATCACCCTTCGTGCTTTTAGTCTCTTTCCTCACCAAAGCAATTAGAATAATAAAATGTGCACGTCATCACCCTTCGTGTTTTTACTCTCTTTCCTCACATATAATCAATAGAATTGGCACGGAATGGTACATCGTGCGGCATGGCATCACCCTTCGTGCTTTTACTCTCTTTCCTCACCAAAGCAAACAATGCACGGCATCACCCTTCGTGCTTTAACACTCTTCCTCACCCAAACAACAATCACAAACAAGGGCAAGGGAAATAAACAAGAATATGTAAGAATCCCGGCAAGGGAACAACGATTTAACAATTAAATCCCGACAAGGGAGCAACAAGTAAATAACTAAATCCCGGCAAGGGAACATTTCAATAACTCTTTCTCTATCTTTCACTTGTACTTCATAACTCACTTTACCACTTGAGCCAATGCTCCAAAGGATTCAATCATCTCATATACTTTCACAATTCATAATATAACTCGAGCCAATGCTCCAAAATGTTCAAAGATCTCAATTCCTTCCACAAACTTTTCACAACAACTAGAAATCATCACCAAAGCATGAAGAATACAATAAAATCATGAAAATCACAATATAAGACTCACGGTCATACTTGACACCAACGTATAGATACTCGTCACCATGCCTATAGCCTTATACGTCGTACTCAACAATTATCACATAGCAAATAGGACTCAACTCCTAATCCCTCAAGCTAAGGTTAGACCAAACACTTACCTCGATGCCTTGAACACGACTCAAACCTCGATTATAGCTTTATCCCTTGATTCCACCGTCAATTCGCTCGTATCTAATCACAAATTGCTTAATTACACTAATAAACACTAAATGAATCAACCCCAATGCATGGAAATGAGTGTTCCAAAGTTTTACCCAAAAAGCCAAAAATCGCCCCCGGGCCCACGTGGTCAAAACCCAAGGTTCGAACCAAAACCGGATTACCCATTCCCCCACGAACTCAAATATATAATTTATTTTGAAATCGGACCTCAAATCGAGGTCCAAATCCCCAATTTTTGAAAAACCTAGGTTCTACCCAAAACACCCAATTCCCCCATGAAAATCTTTGATTTTAGGTTGAAATCATGTTAAAAGATGTTAATGATTGAAAGAAATGAGTAAAAACTAACTTACAATTGATTTGGAAGAAGACTTGTTCTTGGAAAATCGCCTAAGTGTGTTTGGGTTTGAGAAAAAATAAAGCTCAAAATCGTTTAAGTGTAAAAATTGCAGGTCTCTGATATGGGAAATGCGAACAGGGGTTCGCAGTTGCGAAACGCGACCTCTGCAGATGTGGGAAATGCAAAACAGGGTTCGCATTTGCGAACCCTTCATAATTTCCCCAGGTTTCGCATTTGCGAAGGAGCTGTCGCAATTGCGACATCGCATTTGCGAATGAAGGATCGCATTTGCGATACATGCTGAACAAGGGAGGTCTCGCATTTGCGAAGGGGAAGCTCGCATTTGCGAGAAAAGGGTGGCCTGGGCTGGCTTCGCATTTGCGATCCAGCCTTCGCAATTGCGAACTCGCATTTGCGAGCCAGTATTCGCAAATGCGAAGCCTGCACGCCTGAACACACCAGCATTTTTTTTAAGTTCAAAAAACACCCCGAGGCCTATTCAAAACTCACCCGAGCCCTCGGGGCTCCAAACCAAATATACACACAACCTCAAAAACATCCTATGGGGAGTTATTCGTGCGATCAAATCGCCAAAATAACATCATTAACATCGAATTAAACCTCAAAATCCAAAAATTCTTTCAAACTTCATAAAACATCAAATTTTCCAATTTAGGTCCGAATCACGTCAAACGACGTCCGTTTTCAACCAAATTTCACAGGAAGGACTTAAAACATATATAAGACTTATACCGGGATCCGGAATCAAAATACGGGCCTGATACCATCGCTTTCTAATCAAATTTTATTTTCAATTTCCTTAAACAATTTCAGAAAACAATTTTACAAAAAAATTTATTTCTCGGGCTTGGGACTTTGGAATTCGATTCCGGGCATACACCCAAGTCCCATATTTTCCTACGGACCCTCCGGGACCGTCAAATCACGGGTACGGATCCGTTTACCCAAAATGTTGACCAAAGTCCAATTTATTCATTTTAACATCAAAATTTAGCATTTTTCATAGAATTTCACATTTAAGCTTTCCGGCTAAGCGCCGGGACTGCGCACGCAAATCGAGGCTACTCTAAATGAGGTTTCCAAAGCCTTAGAGTCATAGAATTTAGTTAATTGGTGATGACTCTTTGGGTCGTCACACTAACTAACCTTCAAAATCACTCACTAAATCCTGAAATATATTTAATAGTTTTCCATTACAATTGCATGTTAAGAGAGTCAACAGAATTAGGTAGAGAAATTTTGCAAAAACTCCAAAATAAACATCACAGTCGTCACTGAGAGTTGTGGTCGGATGAATAAGATCTAGGACTCGTTTGGCCATAAAAAAATTATTTTTTTTTCGAAATTAGTGTTTGTCCATGAAATTTTCAATTTTCACTTGAAGATGAATTTTCGAATATTTTTGAAAATTTGAAAAACTCCAAAAGAAATTCCAAATTTTCACTTCATATCATTAACAAAAATTCAAAAACAACCCAAAATATCAATTTACTTTTAAAAAAATCACTTTTTGTCAGAATTTTATACTACTTCTTATGTCCAAATGCCCACCTATTCATCATTCATTGCATGTCTCACGATCAAGTCCTGAGAATTAAAAAACAATCCTTGTAAGGAGCTCTTTCTCCATATTAAATCATGCGCGCTATGAATCCAGATTAGAGGGTATTTGGCTAAGCTTATAAGCTGGTCAAAATGGCTTATAAGTACTTTTTGGCTTATCTACGCGTTTGGTAAAATTAAAAATGCTTATAAGTTAAGTGCTTATAAGCCAAAAATAAGCCATAAGTTGGTCTCCTCTAACTTATCAAATTTCAGCTTATAAGCAGTTTAAGTTTGACCAAAATATTTACTATTCTACCCCTAAAATACTTCTTTTTAAAACAAAACTCTTCGTATACCCAGTTCTTTAGCTGCATATTATTAATTTCAGCACTATTATCCAAACACGTAACTGCTTATTTTTTAAATCAACTTCGGCACTTAAAAGTATTTTTCAGCACATAATGCTTATCAGCTACTCTAAATCAGCTAATCCAAACGGGCTCTTAGTCGCCCAATACAAGTACCGGAACAAACAGAATAGTCAACTCTTCATTACAAACAACCTGGTCCGCGAAACACCAAATAAAAACCCACATTGAATAAATAATTCTAACCACAGCGGTGCCACACTCTCTACAAAGAAGACTTCGTAGACTTTGATTCATCTCCATAATCAAAGATCCAAACTTTTTGAGTTTTCAAAACCCATCTCAGCTTAATCTTGTACCCCCAATTTTCTGCATTTCATTTCTTTCACGAAGCAGTGTTTTTTCTTCTTTTTTAATTGTTAAAATGTTTGAGTAATCTTTACTCCATGCTATAGAAAAATAAGGATTTTGTGTAATTCAAAAAAAAAAAAAAAATTGTGTCGTGGGTGTGACGGAAAAATGGCGGGTCGTAGGGAGAAGTATGGGCAATCAATAAGAGGATCTCGAATTGCTGCAGCAATTGCGATCGGTGTTCTTTTGGGCTGTGTCTTTGCTTTCTTGTATCCTAATGGATTCTTCTCTCCCGATCCACCTCACCCTCTTTCTAAATCCAATCTTCAGGTCAGTCTTGAAACTTTGCCATTTTTGTAATTTTGTTCACTTTTATGTGTGTTCTGTGCGTCTTCTCTTTATATAGGAAATGGGTTTATGATTGAATTATGTTAATAGCTTTTTAAGTTCTATGCACTGACAGTGTGTAAAAAATATTTACACTATCATGTTATTAAAAGGTAATTGTAGCTAACTCTATTTTAAAGTAGTGATTGATAACCTAGGATAAATGGTAGAAAAATTAACCCAAATAGCCACCTACTTAATCTCTTAAACTAAAAATAGTCCACGGATGTTTAATTCATGTATAATATATGTATAACTGTGTATAATCTGTGTATGCCGGCTAGAAAAAATAAACGTTGAATTTGGGGGGCTATTTAGGTAACAATCCCAATGGCAAGTGGCCTGCTATAACGGGTTAAATTACATTGATGATATAAAATATTTATGACAATGTTAGTGTGCATAACTTAAATCCTAAATGATTCTGTCTTTAAACTGCACGAAAGTGGCTGTAACGTATATGAAGTGATTACGGTGCTGTTAGGAATTCAGTCCAGCTCTTATCTTTTTGTTTGATTTATGTTTGAACTTAGATGCATGTGTGTTTATACCTGATTGCTATATAATAAGACTAACTTTGATTATGAAGTCTTTGATAATGGTTATCTTTGTTACGTTGGACTTGATATAAAATGCTTGAATGTTGCTTGATCAATGTAGAATTATTTTATAGCTCCTTATTTAGAGATTCGATTCAATTCTTAGGTTGGCTCATCCAATTGTGAATCCACGGAGCGGATTAATATGTTGAATTCCGAGAATAGGAAGTTGACTGAGAAAAATGCAGAGTTGCAAAGGCAGGTGAGGGAACTAAATCAAAAGCTTCAGGTGGCTGCACAGGGAAACGGTCGTGCTCAGGAGCAACTTGTGGTGTCGAGTCAACCTCAGAAAGCTGGGCCTTTTGGAACTGTCAAAAGTTTGAGAACTAACCCTCCTGTTGTGCCCGATGAATTGGTAAACCCAAGATTAGCAAAGATGTTGGCAGAGATTGCAGTTAGCAAAGAGGTCATAGTTGCACTTGCCAATTCAAATGTTAGATCCATGCTGGAGGTTTGGTTCAACAGTATTAAAAAAGTGGGTATTCCCAATTATCTGGTTGTGGCATTGGATGACGCTATAGTGGATTTCTGCAAGGAAAATGATGTCCCAGTTTATAAAAGAGACCCTGATGATAATGTCGATTTTATTGGAAAAAATGGAGGCAACCATGCTGTCTCAGGATTGAAGTTTCGAATTTTGAGGGAGTTTTTGCAGCTTGGTTACAGTGTCCTTCTTTCTGACGTCGATATTGTGTATCTGCAAAATCCTTTTGATCATTTATATCGGGATTCAGATGTCGAATCAATGTCTGACGGTCACAATAATATGACAGCTTATGGTTACAATGACGTTTTCGATGAACCTTCAATGGGTTGGGCTCGATATGCACATACAATGAGGCTTTGGGTTTATAATTCTGGCTTCTTTTATATCCGACCAACGATTCCTTCAATCGAGCTCTTAGATCGGGTTGCTGATCGGCTTACTAAGCAGCCAAATTCCTGGGACCAGGCAGTTTTCAATGAAGAGCTCGCCTTTCCATCACATCCCGGGTATGTTGGCCTTTATGCTTCCAGGAGAACAATGGATATCTATCTGTTCATGAATAGCAAGGTCCTGTTCAAGACTGTAAGAAAAGATGCTAATCTGAAGAAGTTGAAACCGGTTATAGTTCATGTAAACTATCACCCGGACAAGTTTCCTAGAATGAAAGCAGTTGTTGAGTACTATGTCAACGGCAAGCAGGATGCGCTGGATGCATTCCCAGATGGTTCAGAATAATAGCAGCAGCTGCTGAAATTGGACCATACATTGAGAGCTAGGCCAGCTATATTCTCTGTCGTACTATTTTGTCTTTACATACAGGTAGCTCAGTTGATTCTCCCTTTTGGATCAATGTGTAATACCAACCAACTTTTGCTTCTATGTTCAAAACTTGTCTCTCTTTCACCATAGTAGTAGTTCTATTCAAAAATCTTGCAGGATTGTGCTTTGTCTCATCTTTTCTCCTGAGTAGCTACTGAAGCACAACAGGGTTCTAGTTGCAGTGGCATTACAATAAGGGATCTAATAGATCAAATGACCATTAGGTGGTTTGTTACCTTCCTCATTTAAACTCATATAGCCATTACCATGACATGACTTGATTATTCCTTTTTATGATGCGTGTAGAAATATTAGATGACTTGATTTAGTTTAGGCATTAGAGTTTGTCGATGCAGCTTCAACACTGAGCTGTGGTAACCTTGGACAAATTGGAATGTCGCTTGCTATTCATGGATTTGTTTGCGCAGAATTTTATTTAGCAGCTCTTCTTAAATTGTTGCATTATTAGATACTTCAATTTAGCACTTAGATATGAATGTATTACCATTAGAAGCACTGTCTTTAGTGATGTTTGGTACTCTGATTCGAGAACTCTGTAGAGACTATTAGATATCTTGATTGGATAGTGACATTTCTTACTCTGTTTTAGCATTCTGTATTAACATTTTGACTAGTAATACAAGAAGAGAAATAGTGTTGTTATCACTCTGTAGAAATCATTATGCAACTTTAGTTCCCTTACTAATGTGGAGTAATTCATAGTCGAGGCTAAAGTTGGAAACAGAAACATGGTACATGTTGTCTACTGGAAACATGAAGATGTCACTACGAGTTCTTTCTCCCCGAATACCTAAATCATATTTCTAGATTATCATAAGAAAAAGAAGTTAGATGTAAGAAGGATGATACTTCAAACTTTAGGAAATCATTGTGACTGCAATACAACACTTAATAATTTAGTAGCTAACAGGAACAAGACTGGATAAAGCAGAATGGATACTACAGTAATTCATTCATATAGCTAATCTGAGTCTGAAACATACTCAGGTGATTGAACAGAATCCTCTTCATATGGAGTTCTAGGAGTGGAGCTGTCACTGTTATTACCAGCATTGTCATTTCTGATTTCCTCACTATCACTCTCAGTCCTATCTTTGTCCAGGACCTTGTCATCACCAGTATCAGCATCGTCATCATTTTCTTCCTGAGGGAGCTTAAAAAACCCGTAGAGGCGAGAGCCATCTTGAACCCCGTATTCACTAAGGGATTTTTGATCTTCATTCATCATGATATGATCACCATCCTTGTCGAGCAAAAGGATGAGGCGATCACCGGGAAGGTTTTCTTGATTCTGTATTGCTATCTTCAAATCTAGCACTGTTGCATTGTCGCCTACTTGGACATGAAAGATTGTTCCTGTCATAATCTCGACCACCACCTGCATTTTTGTTTTGTTTTTGTTGAGTGCTTGTTCTGTGATGAGAGATCCATGAATTATAAAGAATGTTTTCACAGGAACTGCATTCTTGGATTTTCTTACAATTTGCATTGCCTGAAAAATGGGATAGTTGTGACTTGTGTGAGAAACTCAAATCATGTAAATCAAAGCTGGAGCACTTCATCTTCTTCTTATTCTTCTTCATGCCACCCTGTTGAACTGGCCACTAGTTAGTCTACGTTTTAAACTTTGCATGTTTTTGGCCAGAATTCATATCACACATATCAAATGAGCTAAACCAGACAATTGTGAATGCTTATATGCAATGAAAATCACTTGCAACGATTACTTTGCGCCAAGAAAATACACACACACACTATTCGGAAAGTTGAGAAATACCATAGATATATGACTTTAGTACTTCAATCATCAAGTTAGAGTTAAAATAACTACTTTCAACGTCCAAAGTATATAATAATGCCGAAATTAATTCTAACTCCTCAAAATTGAGATTCAAAGAAATGATTGTTTTTCATATTCTCTTATCTGAAGCGGAGGGCATCACTCATGAAGCAATAACCCCTTATAGCTTGTTTGGATTGTTGTTACTTATTGTATTGTATCGTATTGTTACTTTAAACACAATGTTTGTTTTGATTGTTACTTAAATTTATTGTATTATATCGTTAAATCTGTCGTTAATAACGACGAAAAGTTCCACTTTATGGAACGACAAATTTGGTGTGATAGCGTCGTTACCTTATTCTTTAACCTACTTTTTTATACAATAATTCTACTCCATATCCTATTTTTTAGTAATATTGCAAGTTTATTATTTATATTGTTGGTGCATAACATCATGAAACAACGGCAAACGGTATAATCTATCTAAACGTAGTATTCATCAACAATATAGGACAATGCAATACAATATAATACGATATATTATTATACAATACGTAACAACAATCCAAACAAGCTATTACTTAGCATGGCTTTTAATTGATACTGCGTTTAAGCTGATTTAAGTTCTCAAACATGATTTACATCTAACAATTGTCATTACAGTGAAAATCAACGTTATTCCTAGTTATTTAGTTTTCATAAATATTGTTTTTCCACACCTGTCCAGTTACCTTGGTGGCTTCGCAAGCATTCCACCACATCTCCCTTTAAACGAATGATGGTTAATAAAACTAATGATCCCATTTGATTGCAACCCTGTAAAAGTTTTCTGCTCGTTCGATTAAAAGCCTCAAATTTTCACGTAGTCTTTAACAACAACAATGACAAACCAAGCGAATTCTGACAAGTGGCGTCTGGGTAGTGTGTACGCAGGCCTTATCATACCTTGGGAGGATAGAAAGACTAATTCCAATAGACCATCAGCTAAAGAGAAGATGAAAATAAGCAATGGCAACAAGTAGTAACAGTAGGATATTAAGAAAATCGAAGCAAAAAATAGCAATCAACAGGTAGTAAAAACAATCTATGAGTAGGAAGGATACCATACTAGCACAAATGCTACCGATCTGAGGAAAAAAAAGAAAAATGTTCGACTACGTACTAACCTTCTACCATAATCCTCGACCTCCACACTTTCACGTAGTTTTTAAAGAGCTCAGATAATAGAAAAACAATCAAAATTAAATCCAGGTTCAGCTAATCAACCAAAATTGCATTACTAGGTAACTAGAGTGACAGAGCTTGCTCCATATGCGCAATCAAAACAGCCACAGAAGTTTACTATATGTATGGACACAAAAATGGGTTGACATTATATAACAGAAAATGAACAATAACTCTACAGAAATATTAAGTATGGAAACCCCGCAGCCCGTAGTACAATTCTTAGATGACATATTCTACTTCTAAAGAAGTTTTTTCTAAATTGAGATGGACATCAAGTTCCATTTCACTGCAAATCACCTGCTGTCCGATATCATGTTGCATATGCACCAGTAAGTCTTGCACGCTTTAGTACCACTCCTAGTTAGGTTACAACTTCATTCCATTAGAAGACAGAAAAGTGATCCCAAAGAACACCATAGACTAAAGCAGATAGAACAGCGATCTTGAAAGAACAATTGTTCTGAGATGGTAAAAACTGCTTCTAGTCTTGAAAAGATTATATAATTAACTAGAAATGCTGACGATGCAGAATCTATGCGATGGGAACTATGGTCTGAGCAAAAGCGTTCCTGACCATGAAGAGTTAAGTCCTGAAGTCCTGAAAACATCACACTTTCGGTCGCATTTTCTTTTTCTTGTACGTCATTGCACTTCTTTTTGGTTCTCCTTATTTGAATCTGAAGTACCCAGTGGCGGATTTAACTGGTTAGTCAACAAAAAACTGTAATACTCCATCGCTGAGAATGGCTTAGGTATAATAAGAATAAACCTCCAGTGAATATTTACAAGATATTCCTGTCTTCATGAAATATTCTGGCACTAAGACAATGTTGATTCAGCACAACCACAATCTTCAGTCTATCCACTGAAGATTTAGGGTTGCCCAAATGAACAAAAGCAAGTCCCAACTTCAGAGAAATCACCCCTCTGGTGATCAGGTAAACTTCACCAATAAGTGCAGGAAAAATCGCATTATCCTGTTACAGAGATGGTGCCGATAGTCCTTCCACTTTCATCATGCAATAGTACTTGGAAGGAGCAACTACTCCAGCCTTAGTACACAGATCCACAACAGCGGGAGCATGCCCATAATAGTTCCGGCCATCATCCAGGAGCAGTGGAGGGTCCTGGGGTCGGCGGTACCATACAATTTTTGGAGGAACCAAATGGTCCACTTCCGCCTTCTTCCAAAAATGACAGCCTCGCCAGCTTTCAAACTTAAATACGCCACAAAGACGAGCCTTATGTCCAGAAGGTCCTATATGAACTTCTGAGCAATGTTCACAGACCTTCGCTGGATAAACCAACAATAGTCTCTGAACTCCAGATCTAAGTGCTTCCCATGCCTTTAGAGTTTCTCTTCCCAACAACAACAAATCGTCATCAGACAGAGAGTCAGCTTGAAAAGGATCACTTGAGGGCAAACTACTTCCACATACAATTTCTTCACTTGGAACAGCCCCTGCCTGCAAGCACAGCTCCACAACTGCTGGAATGCGATCATAATCAAACCGTTCTTGGTGATTGATAACATTCTGAAACATAGTTCGCAAATGAAATGCCTCTACTGGGACTAGAATATCATTCAAGCTTCCTCTAATCCACTCATGAGCCTGGTTCTTAGCACGCCGCCGGTAACCATGACAAGTTCGAATTAGATGACCATTCTCACCAATATATACTTCTGGACAATATCTACAACAAAATAAAACCCTTTTAGAGATTAGAAGAAGTCTCGTCCAGTACCACTTTTCTTTCATTAACAGTGAAAGAAGAAACTCGTGTGTTCAGTAAAACAATTGTATCTGATGGTATGGCTTCTTACAACTAGAAGTCGTACATAAACATGCCAAAAAACAAGCCAAGTCTAATAAAAGCATCAAATACAACAGATGATTATCCAAATAGATTCTAATTGAACTATGCATCAATTCAAAGCTAATATATGTAGATAAATATTATGAAAAAACAAGTTAGACATCATAATTTTGCCCCAGCTTCCACTAAAAAGAGGATGTGATAAACATAGGCATGCCTCAGATTGAACCAAATCTTCAGTTCTAGATATCTCAACACTTTGCTAAGTGCATCACTATTTTCTTCTTGTTTTGACAAAATCCGTTGTTTCTTTTATAATTCTTGCTATCGGTTTGTGTTGCATTTATCTCTGCTATCTTCTTGCTGTCTTGCACTTAATCTTGTACCTATTTAAGGGATGAAACACCTCTGCTCTATTTACCAAAGCCAGAAACCTGAAAATATTTGAAGCACCTCTTTGCTCCAACATCAATATATCCAATTCAAACCCCACATGTCCCTATACTAGTGGTGAAGCCAGAAATTTCCTTAAGGGTGTTCAAATTTGAAAGAAGTGAAAAAGAATTTCCGATAAAAGGTGTTCAATATAAATTATATACCTCTAAAACCTAATATTTTACCTATATACACAATGTAATTTTTCAACAAAGGGTGGTCAGTTGACAACCCTTGATGGGCTGTAGCTTCGCCCCTGCCCTATACATACGTTCACCATACAAACTTAAGATATCTCATCTGCAAATTTAAGTCTTCAAAGAAAGAATGTTTCGACTAGCAGAAAATTTGAGCGACACTAAACGCAGAAGATTACATTTAGCTTGCAAGACAATCGCAAAATCTTGGCCTTCTATGAGCTAAGTTCCCAAAGTTCTGTCACTATTTTGATTTCTGCAGCTGCATAAACTTCTCCGGAACCTAACATGACTAAGCCTGGCCTGATGGTTATTTTCTTAAACTACTTCGCTCAATCTCCACATTCAAAAAGCTTCATAATCTTCACTTGTACCCGAAAAACAAAAGCTTCATAATATTTAATCCATCCCAAACAATACCCTCTATCCCAAGCTACGCGGCACCATTTGACTTGGCACGAAGTTTAAAAAAGAGAAGAAGACTTTTGAGCTTGTGGTCTAGAACAAGATTTAGATATTTGTATGGCTATAAATCATCTCATTAAGGGTACAATGAAAACTTTTAAGCTAAATTATTATTAAATATAGAAATGTGACATTTTTTTGGAACAGACTAAAAAGTAAAGAGTGCTAACGTAACTTGGGACGGAGAAAGTTGATTACTATTTCCACATGAGGTCCCAAGGCATATCCAGAACCCTTCAAAACCCCTATAAGCTAAAAAAAAACGCATAAACTGTATCCTCAATCTAAAATAAGCAATAAGATCGAATAAAGATAACAACTTTAACACATAAATAGGCTTAAATCAAATAAACAGAGCAAAAAGGGGTGAAATTACTTGCATGCCCAAGTAGGGAAACGTTGAATTAAGGCGGAAACGCCATGGTAAAGGATGGTTCGAGCCTTATGGACTTCCTCAGCAACAGGAACCATGGATTTTACTGGATAATCTTTAGCCCGATTCTCAATCCTCTTCAGAATCATTGGCCTTAGCTTCTTCAAATCCACTTTTGGTTTCGAACTGTAAACTCGGTAAAATTCTATCGTCCCTTTGAAAATCATCGTTTTATGCTGCCATAGTTCCCGGCTCCTCATGGCCACCTGTGGGATCTGAGCGAGCTTACCTAGTCACCTTCCAAGGGAAGGAGGAAGTGCACGTATAGCCGAATTCAGGACCTCCATTTAACACATAGCCAAAGTTTCTATACTCTTACAAGTTTAGCCACTTTAGATATACAACAGCTTGTAGGGGTGTACATAGGTCGGGTTGGTTCGGATTTTACAATTATCAAACCAAACCAATTATGTCGGGTTATTAAATCTAAAGACCAAATCAAACCAATAAAACTCGGGTTTTTCACTCTCGGTTTTTCTCGGGTTTTCGGGTTATTCGGATTTTTACGGATTTTCTTCCAGTAAAATCTTCGTAGAACAAAACGCATAAATTGTGCTCAAATATTTATTTAATCCTAGTAAGATACAACTATATAAAGTATTTTCCAAGAAAATAATACAAAATATGAGATGTGTCATGGTATTATCTTAAAATATTCAACAATAAAGACAATAAAATTATGTAATATATATATTGCTAATTAAAAAGTCATAATAGAATAAACATAATCTAAAAGTACCAAGTCATGCGAAAATAAGTAGACTAATAAGGGAGTATTAATTACATGACTAAACGCTAAAGAAAAAATAAAAATGCGTTATGCATTTTTATCTAAATTATTGCAAAACAAAAAATAGATATTCAATACATTCACGTTCGTAGTATTGAATTGAATGTCTTTTGTTAGCATTAGTATTGATTTGATTTTGGTTTGGGCTTTTGTTAGCATTATTTAATTCACTAATGTTAATGGCAATAAAACTTATTGGAACATTCAAAAGTTCTAAGTCCAACCTTGAAATAATACCTTAAAAGATAAAATTATGAAATTTTTTAAGAAATATTAATAAATTATATCACAATGAGTATATTTATATATTAATTATATCTTAAATTTCTATATATGTAATGTCGGGTTGGGTTGGTTTCGGTTTGACTTTCTTTAGTTAAAACCAAACCAAACCAAACCAATTATGGTCGGGTTATTTTTTCCAACACCAAACCAAACCATGGTCGTTTTTTTTCTCGATTTGACTCGGATTATCGGGTTGGTGCAGTTTGTCGGTTTCCTTCGTACACCCCTAGACAACAACAATAACAAACCCATTATAATCCCATATATTATAGGGTCTGAAAAGTATAATGTGTATCTTACCCCTATCTCAATTAGATTGAGATGCTAGTTTCCCTTTAGATATAAGTGAAAGTAAATATAGAAACTTATGGGATTTTACATATTTGGGCTTTGAGGGGTTATTTGGTACACTGAAATTATTTTGGAGTTATAATAGTTGAATTATTATCCTTGAACTAATTTATCCTATCTGAAAAGTTTGATAAAATAATCTCAAGTTTGATGAAATGAGGTGGGATAAGATGGAATATCTACGATTACGTTTGCGATTCAAATTATACTATGTTTGTTTGACTTTATAAATTTATAACCACACACAATATATATTAATCTCACACCTTATAATATTATATCCCGCATACTAAACAACCCCTTATTGTACAAAGAAATATTATTGGAGATTTACGAACTTATGGGATGATCTATTGGTTCTTCTATTTGGTGTTGTAGCACAAGTTCTTATATTAGCAGGCTTTCCCTAAGCAATAATAGATCAAACACATTTAACATACCAATGTTACTAGGAGCTAATTAAAAAGCTAAGTGACTATGGATGCACTATTATTTTAAGAAAATAGTTGTGCTCGTGATGTGTACTGATTATGTATAAAATATACATTAATTTATAAAAAATATATTTTACCAATTACTTATTTTACGCATCGACTATACAATGTAATTTTTTCCTAAATTTACTTTCCTTATTGGATGCGGTCTTGTACGAGGAAAGAGGGTAAAAATTTCACGGGACGTCTTATTTGATCGCCGTTATTTAACCTGTATCCATATTTTTTTTTTAAAACTAGTACCCAAACTATAGACAACTTCATGCTTTTTTCTCATCCCCCTCCTCCTCCTTTTTTCAATGTGAAAATAAAGGTGACGGTGGATTTTATATGGTATTTGTGAGCATGTTTTCAAGTGGTTTATGGTCTTTTACAATAGTGAGCTGTTGTGGCGCTTTATTTGTTACAACAATTTAGGGTTTCTTCTTCTTCTTCTTTGGTAACTAAAGATTTCATTATTACCAGAATGGTTACAATGAAGATCTACAGCCAGACTACATCACAATCTGCTATCTAATCATGAACTATCATAAAAAAAAAAAAAACTACACGGAGTAAGACAACTACAAAGCTATCGGAACTAATCTAAATAGTAAGTTGTTGGACCTGAGTTTTAATTCTAGTAGACGCCTTGATGTTACAAACATATGTGATCTCCCTCACCAACTGAATGTGACTATTTTCTATTTTCTCAATTCTTCTCTGATTCCTCTCCATCCACATAGTATGCACCCATTCAGTACAAGACAATTTGAAAATATGAACTCTTTTTTATCTTCCTTTTGATTCTTTGATGATCCATTTCCCCAGTTGAGCCCATCGCGAAGTCATGAAGAGAGGGACTTGCAGCCATTTCAACACTCATTCTCATACCATGATAGAGAAAGGACACTCCATGTATAGATGGTTTCTCGTTTCATTGTGACTGTTGCAAAGACTGCAAATATGATCTACAACAATCCCCCAGGAAGCAAGCCTATCAACAGTCATTAGCTTCCCATGCATCTGCAGCCAAAATGTGAATTGAGATTTTGGTCTAGCATTATTTCCAAATCTCAGAGTCTTCCAAGGTTTTCTCTCATAATCACCAATAAGTTGAAGATAGAGCTATTTGATTAAGCTGCCTGAATTGATATTTTGGAGAAGTGTCATTGTGTCTCTTGCTTCAAATATTTTCCTCACCATTAATCATGCATGCCGAGGAATAGGAATTTGACTAAATTGTTGGTTCTTGATGTAATAGGAATGCAACCACCCTATCCACAACCTATCTTGCCTTATGCTCAATGTCCCAACTTGCCTTAACTATTGCTACTTTATTTTATAATCTTATATTGAACAAGACTAGACCACCAACTTTGGAGTGAACACCTTATCCCAAGCAATTAGAGTTTTTTTTTTGTGATTGTGTTTGTACCAGACCATAAGTAGCTTCTACAATAGGCCTCGTTTGCACTTAGTACTTTTAAAGGAATAGCAAACATTTGACACCAATATGCTTGAATACCAAAAAGGATTGTTTGGATTAACTGAGTTCTACCTGCATACGAGAGATTCTTTGAAGTCCAAGAGGAGATTCTATATACCATTTAGTTAATCAAAGGCTGCCACTATATTAGTGGGATCTTTTTTGTGTACAGAGGAATTCTAAGATATTTGAATGGGAGCTCTCATTTTGAAAATTCTAGTTGATGTATGATTTGTTCTTGAATGTTAGATTTATTGTTGTTTGACAAATTGATGATTGAAGTTTGTTCTTGATGATATTTGGAGCTTACGTTTCAAATTGAGCTCATTTGGAGTAGATTTAAGCGTCAAATCGTATATTGAATTGTTGAAATTCGAATAACAAATTTCTGTTTCTGGGCAATTTGCATTTCAGACTTATTTGGTCTTAAGTACATGAAAACATTCGTTGAATCTAAGACCTATTTGGCCTTAAATGCATTTGAGGTGCAATTTTTCAGACATACTTGGCCGTAAGTGCATGCCTGCATGGAAACATTGGCTGCACTTTAGATCTATTTGGCACCAAGTGAGAGCAATTGCTTATTTGGCCGTAAGTGCATGAAAATATTGGTTGCACTTCAGACCTATTTGGCCGTAAGTGCATGAAAACATTAGTTGTACTTCAGACCTGTTTGGCCTTAAGTGCATTTGAAGTGCAACTTTTTCACTTCAGACCTATTTGACCTTAAGTGCATGAAAATATTTGTTGCACTCCAGACCTATACATAATTGGCCTTAAGTGCATTGCAGCTCAGACTAATATTTTTTCAACTTCAGATCCGATAAGCGTGAGGTGGGTAGACTTGTAATTTTTTTTGTACAAAGTGGGTACTTCAATTGTGACCCTAAAACTGGGTATAGATAAATGCCCCGGAAAGGCTCAACCGTGGATGCTAGGCTGAAGAAGTATGTGAGAGCCCAGTGAAGAAGCTTTGCAAATAAAAGGTAAATGGACGAATTCACGAAAAAATAAAGGCGAAATAAATAGTTTACCCATCCACCTTGCACTCAAATCTCTGTTACATACCTGTTGACCACGGGTATAACTTTACACACCAAACCTTTCAAATGTGTGTCAATTACACACTACTTTTGACCAGCCTCTAAGACGTGTGAAACACGACCAATGCGGCACGTGAAAAGTTATTTTCTGCCTCACCTGACAAATTACAACGGCTAATTATTGGGATTGGGCCCATTTTCCTAACCCTAACGCCCACTTCTTCATCTTCTTCTTATTAAAAGCAACCATTTTCATCTTCTTCAAATTAAGAGGAACCAATTTCAGAAAAACCCAACCCCCATCTTCACCTTCCACATCTAATATTTTCAAGCTGGTTATATTTGTTCAATTAAAGTGCAATACATAATTATTCTTCTGTCAATGCTCGTATTAGGGTTCATATTGAATGGAGAATTCGGGTCCAAATAAACTCTAACTATTTTGACCCACCCATCTAAATCAAAACGATTGAACAACCTAAAATGAGAATACTAATTTGAAAATGATGAAAGTAACAACAATAAATACCAGACGTGTTCTCATCGGAGTCGCCTTTAAAGGTTAGGGCTGAAGAACATTTTGGTGAAAATGGAATTATGTTTGTTAATCTGGTCGAGGAGTTGTTTTTAATCGACCGGGCCGGATCTTTTTTGGGTCGAGATTAAAAAAAGGGTCGGGTTGTCCATTTTAATTAAAGAAAAAGAATCGTTTGTTTTTTAATTTAAATAAGCGCGTGTATACACAACATTGAATATTAACTAGACTGGTCAAAAGTAATGTGTAATTGACACACATTTGAAAGGTTTGGTGTGTAAAGTTATACAT